ATCTGCAAACAATCGGGAATCAACGAAAGAGGAATTTGAATCGACACGTAGAGAAGCAACATAGAAACGCATACAAAGAGGAACAGTTAAATTAATCGAGAAGACTAATGATGATATAAATTACTTGCAGAAATCAAACAGACGAAGAAGAAAGCACCAATCAGTTTGGAGATGATTTGTGGAAATGATTAATTACTTACAGAAATCAATCAGACGAAGAAGAAGAAGGGAAACACCAATTAGATCCGTATGTGGTTTTTGGTGAGACAAGAAAAGCCTGACAAAGTGAGAAAGAGGAGTTTCGAAAAGGAAGCGGCCAAACGGAAAATAATTATATGCCTTTTTTTGAACTGAAACAAACACTGAGCCAACCTTGTGGGGCCCACAAAAAGGTTCAATTTAAAGGAGAAAAGAAAACGCGCCTTTTTCCAGATTTCCCTTTTCCCTTTAATTTTGTGAGCCGTTATTGTCATCAATAAACGATGCCGGATTGGAGAATCAGAATGTAAGGTCCATCTTGGTATTCTCATATCTCAAATCATTCACAATCTCATGTACATCAATAATAAAAAAATTAATAGATCTTAGTTAACTAAAAGTATGAAATTTATATTAATGTCTGCCTTATTTTAAAAAAAATAATAATTAGAGATTGAAAATTGTGTATCATAATTGCCAAATCGTATTTAGTTTTGACTATTTTCAGGACTTTGTTCTTAGTAAAACTGAATGTTTAAGAAAATTGTAAATTAATGCTATATTGCCATCCATCAAAATATCTATCGAAAGTTATTAATTGTTATATAGTTAGTTTTAGTTTTGTAGTATTAATAGTATAAAAACTTTGAATTGTTAAAAAAAAAAAAAGTCATTCAACAGCATCAATTTTCATTTTTCTATTCTATCCAAACTCATGAAATTTGTTTCTAGAAAAGGTTTTTAATGTTTATGGAAATTCGAACATAATTTTGTCACAAGATCTTAGGACATTGTATTTACATGTAAGTCCAAGCCATAAAACAATTTCCATTTTTAACTGAACCTTTTACTAGCTAAATATTTGGTATAATTGGTTGGAACAAGACTATTGATTACAAAATTATCATTGCTAATTTTTTTGTTAAAAAATGATTATTAATAAAAAAAAACACAATTCAAAATTATTTAGAAAAATAAATAAACAATATGTTTAAAACAAAATTGTAAAGATATGCATAAAGTGGTTCAAACTTCAAAACATAATAACATTGATTCATAAATAGTTTTTTCCTTTTAAATTTACTTTATAGATGAGAGTTAACACTAAGTTAATGTAAACACTGATATGTGACATTTTGTTTTGTAGATGTAAAGCTGTCAATATGGGTATTCAGTGTCCACATCCATTTTAGTCCGTCCAATACTGTCTATTATGGATCATTTAAAATGGGCTGTCCATGGAAAAAAATTATGTAAACTAAAAGTTTGAAAATTTGATTTTTTAACTCTCTGTAAATTGTGAGAAATAATTTTACCCCATATCTACACACGTCCATTCACATTTGTCCATAGACGGAGTTGGACATTCCCTGTTATGTTCATATCGTAAATGAGTTTGATCTATATTTATTTGAACCAACCGTCTATGAGCTGCTGTCCATGTTGACTGTAGATGTAACCAAATCTGTTATAGATAAATGTAAGACTAGCAAATTTATTCACACTATATTTCGGCTAACATTACCAAAACTGTTTATGAGTAGCCTACAACTTGAATTTGTGTAGCCTATTATTAAAAACATATTAAATTGCAATTATGAAATATGTATGGATTGTTATGCCAACAAGATATATTGATTAATTAATGGATACTACACTTTGAGATTCGAAACGAAAGGTTCCCATGGGATTGACATCAAGTAAATATATGAAGATTTACTTGATGAAGATTTATTATATTGCTGCTTCGATTGCTTTTGTTGGCCTCAAGTAAATGTGTAAAACTAGTATATGGGACTATATTGATCCTTAGAATATGGACACGTTTATAAGATTTGTAGGACCAAGAATTTCTACTATAAGGCAAACTGACCAATTCTTAATATAATGATAAAGAGATAATAAAAATACAAGACATAATACCAATTAAAGGTAAATGAAGAACGGGAAGAACGGGTTTGTGCGGAGGCGAGACACTCTTTCCTTAATTCTTTAATTGCCCGTAGTGTGACGGTGTTTATGCAATCAGAATCCCAAGATACAACCGCACTCGACTATTCCGCAACACTCGGAATAGAAGCTAACGAACCTAACTCTGTGTTATACTCTCAGACACAAAATAAAAGAAAAGAAAAATAAGAGAGAAACTAAACTTGTGAGGAATGTTTTCTGTGTTGAATGAATGATTTCCTATGAAGCACAAGAGGCTTTATATAGGAAAAGAATGAGATCAAGTGACATAATTGCATGGTCTTCGTATTGACCAAAAACATATCACAACATAATGGAGCAAATCACGTAGCAATCAATATTATTAAGTCACAATATGACTTTGACCACGTAATAATAGACTAAGATATTTTGCTTTGATCAAATTTAAAGCAATAATATTTTAGTATATGGATTTCTTTTTTGTGTAAATTAAGTCTTAACACAAAAGATTAACTTTAATTTGGTTCATTATAATAAGTTAATGGACTTGATATCCAATTAACAATTATAACCCAAACTCAAATCCAAATATCTAATATGGGCTATTTGCTAATTTTAACACTTAGCCAAATATAAAAAACTTTATAAGCTTTTATAAACACCCATTTATAAACTCCATTTCTCATTCAAATCAACTCTGATTTTGACATATGAATACATTATTTCATAGTGTTTATGGCGACGATTCTTTCGTGCCTAACATATGGTTTTTCCGACAAACGTCTTCACCGGAAAACCAACCGGAAAATGGACTTAAACCATTTTGTCAAAAACGAGTTCCAACAATCCCCCACATGAATAGAAATGAATCTAAACAAAAGAAGAAAAGACTCAAGAAAGAAAAATAAAATAAAAAGGACTTTTGAGAGTATAAACGAAAAATCCACTGCATATGAGTTGGTAGCATTTTTCAGCCTTGAACCAAATCACTGTTAATAGCTATCGGGTTTACTCGACCAAGAGGTGAACATGATGTCTTGAACCTCTCGGGCTTTGATGTAAACCAAGACAACAACTATAACACAGTTTCATTCTCTCACAGAACTAGGTTCTCTATTGTGTTCATTTTGGCCATGAACATACTTGGATAATCATGAGTGAAGTTGGAGAATATAGCCTTTTATTTATTCTCCTAGAAACGGCCCCATTTCACACTCACAAGGTGATTCGCCATTAACTTTGTTTAAAGGAGTATCATGTACTACTCCATGTATATTTCAAAGTTATGGACCCAAATCATTAAAAGCTAATGCTTATCCTCTATACCATACATGTAACACTGTTTATCATCCTAGGAACTGGGAATAGATATAAATCTCACAGTGTTTTTGGGCAGATTCAGTTTAACTTAGTTTTCCCCTTGAACCTATTTCTTGGGATCTCCAGTCATTTAGGTAGGGTTACCATTAAACATCCTCTTAAGTCATAGGCTTTTAACCCATTCCTCTTGATGATTTTACAACTTGATCTCATGACACACCTTTAATATTTGGATCCTAGGTTGTCATTTACTTGAATATAATCTATAAAGATTATTTCATTTTGAGATTAATTGTTTTTAAATATTTAGGAGGTAGCATTTGAATTTTTCCATGTACCCCCACATTTTCAAGGTATTGTACAAATGTACTTGGCCCCTTTTTCTCAAATTCATAAACATTTTGTAAATGACTTTATGTGGTAAGCAATGCTTTTCCCCCACATTTCTCTTTACTTGATTTGCATTTTGGAAATAAGTATGAATTAAACAATCTCTTATAGATATATAATTTCATGCCTTAACCATTCATAACAAATATAGAAAAGACTTAATCAAAAAAGAAACAACATTATTCTTATTGATGAAAAACAGAAACAACATTATTCTTATTGATTGAAAAAAAAACAGAAACAACATTATTCTTAGGAGTTACAACTCAGTTTCGGATGACTGGCATGACACACATTTTGACAAGTCCATCCTTAACATACCCCTTTCCCAAATAAACTCCATGTTTCTTGAGCACAAGCTTGTCAGACTCGAAATTGGTAGCAAATCCGGCCTTACTCATAAGAGTACCAGAAATCAGATTCTTTCTCATGTCTGTCACATGCTTCACATTTTGGAGAGTGATCTCCTTTCCTGAGGTCATCTTCAGCACCACTTTGCCATGACCCTCAATCTTGGAAGAACCAGTGTTTCCCATCAATAGGCGTTCTCCATTGTTGCATTTCTGATAGGTACTAAACATGTCCTATCATTGCAGATGTGGATAGTGGCACCTGTGTCATACCACCACTCCCTTGGGTTGTCCTCAACATTGTTGACTTCAGTGACCACAGCACACAAGTCATCTTCTGTGAGGTGAGCCTGAGACTTCCCTTTGTCTTCACTTGGACCAGCTTTGCTACGGCAAACATTAGCTTTGTGGCCCATCTTGCCACACTTGTGGCACTTCCATTTGAACTTCTTTGGTTCAGCTTGCTTCTTGAAGCTTGTGGAGGAGTGTGGAGGAATTTGTCCTTTCCCATTTCTCTTTTGCTCAGCCAAGTTCACATCATTCGCACGAATGAAAACACATCGGCTTCGCGGTTTCGGGATTCAACCGCAGCTTGACAATTAAGTCCTCGAGGGTAATTGCCTTACGCTTGTGAGTGAGATAGTTTTTGAAGTCCATCCACCCTGGAGGAAGCTTCTCAATGAAGGAATTGACAGTGAAAATTTCACAAATCGACATACCCTCAGCGCTATCTCATGCGTAATCAATTGCAAGGCTTCAACTTGTTCCATGATGGGTTTTGAATCCACCATTTTGAAGTTGAGAAATTTCGCCGTAGCGTATTTCTGACAGCCAGCATCCTCGGACTTATACTTCTTCTCCAAGGCCAACCAAAGTTGCTTGGAGGTTTTCGCCTCACAGTACACATTGTACAATGGGTCTATCAAGCGGCTTAGAATCCAGCCCTTGCACAGAAAGTCTGACTGGGTCCACCGATCCATAATGGTTGAATCAGTGTGTCACGCTCCTCTAACGCAACATGAAACCCTCTCAAGATCGCTCTCACGCAACAGCAGTCCTCGTAAGTCTTTCTAATTCCTCTGAGGCTAGTGAAGTAGAGTAGTACTATCTCCTTCTTGTTGTCCTCTGTCTCTGGCGTTCTTGGTTTCTCTTGCTCTTCCAAAGATACATATTCTGGCAAACTGATTACAACAGATTGGTTTGAGACTGGTTTCGTGTTTCGTTTGGAAGACAATGCTTTCTTGTAAGATGAGATGATGTTAGGATCCAAATCAGAGAGAAACGATTCTTCAGACAAAAGCTTCCACAGAGGCTGCTTTGGTCTAGAAGGCAACGGAATCCAATCGTCCTCATCTTCTTCGATTCTCACGATCTCGTAAGAGTCGTCCAGTTTCGACGCAGACCCATTGATGGGTTTAGAGAAAGATTCATACTTTACGTCGGAGTTACGCTTACCGTTGACGCAACCGTATTCGTCGTAGTCGTCGAGACCGTTCATGAGCTCCCATGTGTTGATCACTGAGTCAGGAGACAACGAGTCCTCTGTTTCGAGGGTTTTCTTATTGTTCTTTCCTGAAATGGAGACATGAGGCAATGGCTGGCTGCTGTCAGAGGCTTCGTCGAGGTCGAGGAGTGGAGGAGAGCCGTAAGTGGTGGAAGTGAGGGAGACCAGGTGGTGCGTGTCGCCTTTTTTAGACGGTGGATGATGAATCGACGGCATTGGAAAGGAGAAAGCTCTCGGAACCGTCTTAGACGAAGACGACGACGGGAATTGGGAGATGAATTTCATCTCTGGAGGTGAACTTGAAGCCGAGCAAGGAGAAGAAGAAGAGGAAGCGGTTTTAGAAGTAGAGGAACCCATGACTTTGAAGCAGAGTAGAGAGAAGAAGAAGAAGAAATGGCGTCAGTGTTTTTTTTAGTTTCTCAACTCTCTTTTTTTTTGGGTTTCTTGTGCTTTTCCTTTTGTCGGAGAATATAAAAGAGAAAGTGAGTGTGAGAGAGAAAGAGAGAAAACAGGTGGAACGGAGCTGTCTAGGTAAGTTGAGGTGGAAGATGGTGAAACACTAAAGAAGACGATAATGGTAATGTTGTATTTGCGGTATTAAATTTGATTTTATTAGAGAACTAAGGAAAGTGTATATTTGTTCCTAATAATTAGAGCGTAAATTCAGAAATCATAACAAAGTAAAACAGTGTTGGCAAAAAGTAATATGTCAAGATCTTTGAATTTAGCCAAAGACTTGCACTAAAATGTATTTGGGGAGGAAACAAGTCAACAATGAGTCATACTCTGCTAGTTATTTCTGATTAGGATCAATCTTAGCAGAAATGAAGCAGTTATTAAAAATTCAAAACTTAATGTCTTAAATCACCAGTTATGGAAAAAATAATTTAACAACATTCCTTACTCACCAGTTATTATGAACTGTAAATACGGAGTTCTCTTGGTTATCCCATTAAAAAAGTCAATAATCAACTAAGTATTGGTGTTAGACTCAAATTCCAGCACGTAGGACGTAAAATTTGGAATTGGGTTTACTATTAGTCTATTACTGATATTTTACGAGAGAATAAACACGAAACTGCATTGCACAAGGCACACTCATTGAGGATTCCTTTGCCTTTTTAAAAAGAGGCGTAAAATAATTATTATTCAATTTAAAATATATTAAAGACAAAGCAAGATGGGCAAAAGAAAGAAAATCAATCTCTTTTTCTATAATAAGAAAGAACTCAATAACATATCCGTAAAGAGAGATTCCCTATGCGCTAAATTTGTTTATAATACCCAAAATAAAAATGTGATCTTGAATGCTAAATTTCTGACACAACACATTACAAGTAGTTTTAGACTAGTAAATCCTTGAGCATCTGAATGATCCTCTAACAAAAACAGCATAATCTTAGCGAGTGTAACTTATGACCAAGAGGGTCATTTGCTTTGTCCAAGAAAAGAGAAGGTCATTGTTTGGTCGATGTAAAGTGGAATTGATGATATACATGTTACATTTATAACAAATACGTGTGTGTTTCTATTGATCCGAGAGAATAATAATGTTGGGCTTTTCTTATATACATTTACTGACCCTATCCTGATAACTTACCCGTAAAGAAAGATGCCCAACGCGGTAAATTTGTTTGGAATATTTTCTCGCTTATACCTAAAAGTTACGACGTACTCCTACATTTACAGTTGCTTATTATTTACTCTTGCAACTCTTCGTGGATCTGAAGATCCTCTGCCAAAACCCAGCTTAATCTCAGCGAATGGTATTGGTAAGCTACATCAAATGGATGAACAAAGTCGACATTTGCATATCATTAATATAATCACACTTTGAAGTAATTTCCAATTCTGGAGACAAGAACCAGAAACAACAATCAAATGTAAAGAAATCCCATGACTAAATATCCACTCAAATCAACATAAACTCCCACAAATTGAGACGTATTATATATCAAAGCAAATAATGACCTTATATATCTCCTCTATAAACCCAAACCCCTCAATATTTAGGGTATCGAGTTATTCCAAAACATTTCCCATCGCAAGAAAAAAAAAAGACATGAAAAGAATCAATTCTCTACAGTTACGGAGAAGATCGTAGCAACGATCATTCGACATGGAAAGGACCGATTTCTCGGTTTCTGAGAGAACTGGCGATTTCGTCGGCGATGGCTAAACATGTGAAAATCCAGCCGCTCAGAGCTAACCACACCGTTTTCGTCAGATGCATCGCCATTTCCAAAGGCATCGCCATTTCTCCGAAGGTTTGTTCTGTCTGTATGTCTCTCTATCTCTTAAGTTCGCGAGCTCAATCGATTTGGCTGAAGAGAAGTGGAAGATCCCAGAGTGGGTGAAGCTTACGGTGAAGGAGGAGGAGAAATATGGAAAGAATATCCCACACGTGCCACACGCTGGGATCTTTTAACCAGTAAGACATCACCACGTGTCCCAACACTTCACCAGCCGCGTCTCTTTCTGGCCAGTTAGGAGACACGTCACTGTTCGACCCAATAATTACGAGCTTAAAAGAGAAGATACATTTATAATATATCAACCCCACACAAAAGACTTGTATTTTATGCAAAATTGCAAATAGGTGATAGTTTTTTTTTTCTAGCCTAAATAAATATCATCTGACATTTCCCCAACGAACCAACTATTCGTCTATTCCCATATAATTCCACATATATTGTCTTCCTTCTATAATTGGTCATTATGAAACAAAATTATTTATAATGAAACTTTTGTATTTTTCCCCTACTTTGATCAACCAATTCCAGTTGGACTAGTTCACAAAACAACAAAAGAAGCATTAAAATATAAAGCAAAAGAAGCACAATGCATTTATGGTTTTTTCTTTGCAATTATTAAAAAAAATGCAAAAAGGTGATGGTCCAATCGGAATCGGCTTAAAGGGTCATAGTGAAACAAAATTATTTATAATGAAACTTTTGTATTTTTCCCCTACTTTGATCAACCAATTCCAGTTGGACTAGTTCACAAAACAACAAAAGAAGCATTAAAATATAAAGCAAAAGAAGCACAATGCATTTATGGTTTTTTCTTTGCAATTATTAAAAAAAATGCAAAAAGGTGATGGTCCAATCGGAATCGGCTTAAAGGGTCATAGTGGGCTCGGAAGGCGACGGCCCGTGATCCTTCCACCGTCAAGAGCGGGAGGTGGACGCTGCTCTGTGAAACCAGCCTCACGCAGTCTCCCCCGACTCTAGGAGACATGAAACCCGAGCCTTCGCTCAAGGCCCATGCCTCAACTCCCAACTTGGAATGGGCGGGCCAGATAATAGCCCAACCCGAACCCGGCCCAATGAAATCGTTCCAACGTTCCATCATCTTATTGTCTCCACTTGGATCACAAGCCCGCGCTACTGAGCTCGACGTTCAGTAAGTTATAACTTCACTATTATATACAACAAAGAAACTCTCTCTTCTTCCGATGTGGGACAAAATGGTTATACTACTTATTCTAAAGAACTCTCAAATGGAAATGGAGTTCGTTTTCCAAAGAGGGATAATCGGAAATGTGATCTCATCTCCGTTCAGGTTCGTGAATCTCGTGCTTTGCTTCTCAGATTTTGGGTTCTCATCTGTGTACGTTCACGCTGTATACGATTTTCGTAGAGAATGAAATAGTTTTTAGGAAGAAATTTGAGATTCTGCTGTGTAATTGGAGCTAACCCGAAGTCAGATTTGCTAGAAATATGAGATCTTGTGTTCGATAATAGTACTTCACATTTACTACGTTTTGGCAATTACAATTTGTGGTGTTTGCTTTCTCAGCTAAAGTAACTCACTTTTGGCTTTCAACAATGGTTTCTTAAGCTCTGATTCATGAAAGCTCCAATCTTTGCAATAGTTTTGGATTCAGAGCCATTTAGGTCTCCAAATTGGAGCTATTTATGAATAAATTTCCCTAAAAGCTTGTGGGTTTCAATATCTGTGCTCACTAAAGCCAAAACAGAAAGTAAAAAAAAAAAACGAGAAAGCTCATCTAGGGACTACTGGACTAGGGTGAAGAGTAGTGAATTGACAAAAACAAGAAATCCACTACTGTTTGTAAATGTCTTTTGTTGCTTCGCTCTGACATTGCTCCTCTCGTTTCAGGGGTCTTTTAGTTGCTTTTGCCTTTTGAAACGATGCTGGTTTTGAGCCCTTGGTAATGCCCACTCATCTTGATGAAAAGAGATAAAAGCATAAGCTATAATAGTAACCAGATATGTATTGTGGGAAAAAGGTTTTTGCTACTTACCACTGTGTGGAGTGTCCAAAGCTTTAGAATCAGGACGAGGATGCATTGTTACTCCTCGTGCTTGCTGCTGGTCAACGCTTGTACACATTCGCATTGGTTGAGTTGTGTCAAAGTTATGATGACACATCCGTTGGTCAAAGCTTTCTCCATTTTGCAGCCCGTTGCTTCCTCCTCCAGGTTGATCAGCCCGTTGGTCAACGCTTGTACACATTCGCATTGGTTGAGTTGTGTCAAAGTTATGACACATCCGTTGGTCAAAGCTTTCTCCATTTTGCAGCCCGTTGCTTCCTTCTCCAGGTTGTAGCATTTGCTGCGCTTGTGCTCCTATTGGGAAGTTCTGTTGCAGCGGCATTTGCGGTTGGTATTGTTCATACAGGTCCTGTAGTTGCAACAATGAATCTCTTTCCATGGCCGCCTGGATAATTGGGTCATGTTGACCAACATCGCCTAGACCGTCGAGTATAGAAGCCAAGGGGTATTGTGGCGTATTAGCTGCTGGTGCAAAGGTTGGAGCTCCATAGCCATCTGTGGGGAAAGAAAAGGAGAATGGTTCATGCAAATGCTTAAGTATAAGAGTGAAACAAAGAGAAAGATTCAGTCTTTTTTTTACAGGGAATACCAGTAGATGAAGACCATTGATCTACTACAGCTGCTGGTGTGTAGGGTTGAGCTCCATAGCCATCTGTAGGGAAAGAAAAGGAGAATGGTTCATGCAAATACTAAAGTAGAAGAGTGGACAAAAAGAGAAAAGATTCGTCTTTTATCTTACAGGTTTGATCATTAGATGAAGGCCATCGATCAACAGCTGCTGGTGCATAGTTTGAAGCTCCAAGATCATCTATGGGGAAAAGAAAAGGCGAATGATTTATACACATGCTTAAGTAGAAGAGTGAAACAGAGAAAGATTCAGTCTTTTATATTACAGGCAGTATCGTCTGAGGAAGGCCATTGGCCAAGAACTGCTGGTGCATATGTTGCTGCATAGCCATCTGTAGACAAAGAAAAGGAGAATGATTCATACAAGTGCTTAATTTAAAGGGTGTTAAAGCAATGAGAGAGAGAAAGATTGAGTATTTTCTTTACAAGGAAGATCATTAGATGTAGTCTGTTGATTAGGATGGAGTTGGTTTTGCTGATCATTAGGAATCTGCAGCTGCGTTACTACAAAACAGAGAGACGGAAGAAGTTCTTATAAGGCAATGAGCAAAAAAGATGTATCAAGCAGTGAGGTACAGTACCAGAATTGTGTGTTTCTACCTGATGGACCATTTGTATAATGCTGTGCTAAGCTTGGAATCTGCATCTGCGGCACTACAAAACAGAGAGACAGAGGAATTCCTTAGAAGGCAAAGAGCAAGAAATCGAGTTATGGAGCACTGAGTACAGTATCAAAAATTATGTGTACCTGATGGACCATTTGTGTAAGGCAATGCTGAGCTTGGAATCTGCATCTGCGGGTCTACAAAACAGAGAGACAGAGGAGTTTCTTAGAAGGCAAAGAGCAAGAAATCGAGTTATCGAGCAGTGAGTACAGTACCAAAACTGTGTGTGTTACCTGTTGGACCATTTGTATAAGGCAGTGCTAAGCTTTGAACCTGCAGCTGCGTTACTACAAAAACAGAGAGACAGAAGGAGTTCCTTAGGAGTCAAAAATGAAAAAAAAAAAACGAGTTATTGGCACTGAGTATAGTACCAAATTTGTGTCTGTGCTTTACCTGATGGACCGTTTGTATAAGGCAATGCTAAGCTTGAAGAAACCGTCTCTGTCTTGGAAGCTACGTAATCCAAAGAGAATTCAAACTTAAACAAACCCTAACCCCAATTTTTCAAAAAGTGGTCTACTTTTAGAGTTTAAAGGTAGCATTAGAGAGTACCAGATGTGCTAGCTTGATCATTCATAAGACTAATTACTTCAGGGTACTGACAAAGAAGATTCACGATTTCAGCTGCAAGAAGAGACAAACATAAGCAAATCTTTAGCATAAGGTCGATCATCCAGATAAGACGAATGTGCTCTCTCTGTGTTTATACATACGTGAATTAATATCAAGATTTCCCGCTTTAAGCATCAGAGCTACTTGCTTGGCAAGCAACTCGTTGAACTGCTTTGTCTGACGAGCCACTTTGCATCTTAAGTAGTAGATCTTGAAGAACTCTGGGCTCTCTTCTTGAAGCTTCTCCCAAACTAACAAGATTCAAACAAAATTCAAGAGTTTACAAGAGAACCATATGGATAGAATCAATATAAAGTCTTTGACTGACGATATTGTAGATTGTAGACTTACTTGTTTGGGTGAGCTTGTGACAAATCTGGTGATTATCCTGCAGATACTTCATGGTTTCTTCCAAAGTCATGTACTTTTGAATACAGATTTCGATTTTGTTCTTCACCTAAAACAGAGCAACAAACAATAAGCAAAAGATGAAACAGAGCAATTGATAATAACAAGCTTTTGAGAGAATCAGTAGAAAGAAATAGTTACATAGTCGTCTGTGATCTCTGAAGCACTACGGCAGTTGCAGAGTATAAGATTGCATGAACCTCCCATAACTTTTTTGGAGGAAAACTGATTAAAGATGGATCTCTTTTTTCAAGAAGAAATATTAAAATTCTGTCATGAATATATGATAAATAGCGAAAATATCGGGAAAATAAAAAACCTGGTTAATATTCAGAAATTCTTGTTCGTCTTTCGTTGTTGTCATCGATACGTAACTAATTTCTCAGTAGTCTTCGTTTCTTCGCTCTATGTCGCTTCGAGTATCGTCATCTTCATGTAACTTTCATTATCCTCTGTTTTTTTTTCTCAAGTGAATAAACTACGGAGTCGAGCTGGTGAAGGTGAAGACTCGTGAAGCTAGAAGAAGACCTGAAACAAATTTGGGTTTGAATCGAAAGTACCTGAAGAAAACGAAAGTCTGTTTCTGATAGGATAACACAAATTTATAAAACCCTATCTGAAGAAAGACGTAAGTCTGATAGAGTAACACAAATTTCTAAAGCCCAAATTTGCTTCTAATGTAAACCGTACAGAATATTAAGAAACCCGTACAGAATATTCTTCCGTACTCTTTTATCTCGTACGGCCTCCAGAGTATCTAGATAAACCGGATATAACGGTAATTACATTAACTTTCAGAAAATATTAAATGGTTGATTTTATTACTTCAACAAAAAATATAAGGAAACGTATGTAAACTTAGTAGCTTTTGATTCACACTCTTGAGTCTCGAGATTGTTTTGAATTTACTGACTTGAACATAGTTAAGTGGAACAATAACAACATCACATGAACAAACCAAGAACTCTAAGCATAAGTAAAGAAAACTCGGTAGATTTTATTTACTCTTGAGATCGTCTTGATTATCAGAAAAAAGAAGAAACATAAACAAAATTTGGGAATTTAGTGATTTTTCACATAATGAACAACAACAACAAGTAACAACCATTACCACCACCATCATGATCATCTACATATATATCCCCTCTTCATTCTCTATTACCAATTCTGTATTTACCAGAAGAAGCATTCCTACAAAGACTAACAAAGTTTTGAGAAAAATACTTATGCGCGAAAACCGAAAGAAAGAACGGGTTAGACCGATGTCGTGATATCATTGTATTTAGGACGTGATCGATCTGTAGATATCACTTCTTCCATAGCTTTCCTCTTGTTACTACTCAACATTGGTTCATGTTGTTCGGATTCAAGTTCTTGACTGAGAGGCAAGATTTCAATTACTGATGAATCTTCTTCTATAACCGGTATCAAAAGTGCGTTCTCTTCTTTGGCTAGTTTCTCACTTTCTTTCTTCAGTTTGGTTTTCATCATATGAGGTTTCAACTTTGTAAGATCAGCCAACTTTACTGGTTTCAAGAAAAACTCTTCAGCTCCTTCTTCCAAACATCTGTTGTTCAAAATTTTCAGGACACATTATATGAGTACTAAAATTCCAAATCCATTGCAAGAAATCTACATACATAGCTCATGTTTTTTATTAATGACAATAAAAGTCAATTTAGTGATAAAGAAACAGAGGCTTACCTGGAGATTCTAGCAGGAACGTTCTCAGATGACATTATTACAACGGGAATGCTTTTAAACGCTGCTGATTCCTACACAATCATATAAGTTTCTGTAAATTTCTCAGGAAAGCAAATTGTTCTCATGATACACAATGTCATAAAGAAAAGTTTTTAAGCGAGTGGGAAAAATATTCCAAAGAGATTTTCCTCATTGACATTCTCAACTAAAACTAAAGAGAAAAACTTTATTTCTTTTTCTGGAAAACGAATTTCCCAGAGCTGGAAAAGACAGCAACCTAATAGAAAAAATTGGCCAAAAAATCAAAGGAAAAAAAAAAACAAGAAGAAGAAA